GCTTAGCTCTCTCCTGCCTAATCATTTCCAAGGTTAGCAGCCTGGAAAGGCAGTCCTACACACTAATTAATTTACATACAATGATATACTTATTTACTCAAGTGTGTCTTATTTTTTTTTAAGATTTATTTACTTGTTCATACAGAACTGGGGAACAGGCCAGAGGCTCAGGGGCGGCGAGAGGCTTCACCAGAGACAGAGTGGGGAGCAGAACAGGCAGATCGACGAAGTACACTGCTGAGGGGAGAGGCGGGCGGGTCAGGAGAGGTCTGCTGCGCCATGTGGTCACCTCCGGGGCAGGCAGGAATCAAACTCATGAGGAAGTGGCTTTAGCTTCTCAGTGCTGTGCTTTAACTCGCTGCACCACCAGGAAAGGCCTCAAGTGTGTCTTTTGTTGGCCAAAATGTTAGCCTCTAATGACAGAGAACATTTTTTCCTCACTTTGTTCTTCTAGGATTCAATATACTGCCTAGCACATATTAGGCATTTTGTTAAAAATATATTCTTTTCCTACCATACATAACGTCTAGGCCAAAATGTTTATATTTCACCAAGAAATCAGACGCTAAAAATCATCCAACTAAACAATAATGAATTAGATATTAAAAAAACATTTACATAACAAAATCAAGATAAAATTGTTGGAAAAGCTCATACATTGCTCCTAGATTTTAAAAGGCAGTAGTATCATTACACCTAAATATTTCAAGGAAATATTTTGAAAAATGTACTGCTATAGTCATCCTATCCAAACAAAATTGCATAATTATTAATGGTAACTGTAGTAAATATTTTTCAAACTTAAATTTTAAATGCTAATAGCCATTTTGTTTTAAAAAAGGTTAAAGGAAAGATAAATGAACAAATGTCACATGGGTCACATTGGATAAAATATATTTTTAAATAATATGGAGATTGAAGGGTATAGGCACTAAGCTAAAACCAAACATACAGTAACGAAAGTGGCATATTAATCCTCAAATAATAATTACTGTCCCATCACATTTACTACTAACAACATTATTCTTTTGGGAGACTGGTTCAGAATATTTTACCATATGAAGTAAAATGCAATGGTCACAAATACTAAAAGAAAAAGAGAATTCCAAAAAGAAAAAAGAATCAGCGATATATACCTTATTTATTTCTAGTATTCTGCTTTTGCTTCTGCTCTTAATACTTATATCTCTATACCTGACTTGTGTCCTTTTAGTCTCCCTTTTGCTTTAATATACAAAGAGTCCTATAACACTTATTCTAGAGTCTGATTTTCCAGCCCTAAGTTAACATGCCAAATTACTTCTGAAAGCCAATGTTACTAGACATTCCCTTAAAATAGCACTGTCTGCAAGTAGTTCCATTTAACCACTTATTTAAATTTTGAAATCCCTTATATTTTGGTTTCTAAAGCATCTCCTCTGTCTGTCTTCATTTTCTCTTTGAGTTTTTTAATGACACTTTATCTGATGGGCTGACATATTAAAACATGATATGTATCAACTCTTCCCTTTTATCCAATCTATGCTCTTCTGAGATGATCTTATCAAACAACTGCTTCAAGCAGCACTTCTGCTCTAAAACCTTTCAAATGTCAGTCTCTCTAAGCTGGCTGATTCTTCTGAGCTGGCTCGTATGCACTCAGTGCCTAGTAAACATATCTGATGATAATTCATAGGCACCACAAACTTCACAGTCAAAACCTACTTCAAGTGTTTCTCATTTTGAATCTTGATAAATGTAATTACCATCCACTAAGGCAACCAAGCAAGACGCTGGAGTCATTCTAGCATTTTCTTCTCTGCTTCATTTCCCATATTCAATAAAACTATTTCTTCAGGCAGCATTTCTCAGCTAGCTGCAGCAGCTTCAGCACAAGTTCAATCCCCTGCCAGGGAGCTGACCCAAATAGCATGGCAGACCTCTCCTGTGTCTCCTGCAGCTCCCCTCAGTAGTGTACTTTGTCAATCTTCCTGTTCTGCTCCTCTCTCTGTTTTTGGTGAGTCCTCTTACCACCCCTGCATCTCTGGCCTGTACCCCAGTTCTGTGTGCATCAATAAATAAATCTTAAAAAACTATTTCTTAAAAAAATTTGAAGAAAGTACTATATATTAGATACTAAACTAGATATGATACAATAAAGGAAACATCCTTCTTGTACTCAGAATTTACATCCAAATAGAATATATAGAAGTAGAGAGATTGTTCATATTCTAATTTATGTGAAAGATAATCTAGGGGTTTGGCAATAGACAACCAAATAGGCTGTATAATATTATGATCTTGCAAATACAAACACAAGTAACATGTTTTTATTTTGTCATTGTTGTTGTTTACTACATCTCTGCATTACTTTCTTCCTAGATTGTTACAATAGCTGTATGACCAGTTTTCTTCTTTTTGTCCTGTCTACCCTATTTCTTTCTTTTTGTCCTGTCTCTACCCTATTCACCAAAATATTGCCAGAATGTTACTTTTCCAAAATTTCAACTTAATCACAATGTTTAAAATGGTCTACAGAAAAATGGAGATTCTTTATACTGCACTAATTCCTCCATATATATTTCTCTGCAATAGCCATGCTAAATTCCTTGCAAATCTCTATCTTGGCTCTGTATTTTAAAACATGCTTTACATAAATAATGCTACCCATCTATAAGTAACTTTTGCTTGTCCTTCTCAATTATCACTGGCACCAATTCCTCTATAAAGTCCTCCTTAGGAATCATTCCATATTATTGGTGTCCTACTCTGCCACATATCCTTCATGCTATGTATGGAATCAGATTTTACTCACAAGTTTGCCAGTCTTTCCTGCTAGACTATGAGTTTTCCTGCAACCAATGAGAGTGAATTACTGTGGGATGCTTTTGAGAAATCTTACTTTAATTATTTACATATTTTATTCCTGTAACTGCATTAAATGTAGGAGCACCTCACTAAATACTTGATAAATTAATTAGTGGCGAATAATTTATCTTCTTCCTCAAAGTCATGCTATAAAAGCATATCCAACTCCCCAAAGGCCAATGGTTCACTATCCTATGAGAGAAACCACATTTCTTGTCTGTATTCCACACCCTTCAGTGTCTAACAGAAGACATTTTCTGGAAAAAAAAAATGGCAATCTTAGTTTTCCTTTAAAATTTAAGGCTTACTTTCTCTATAAAGCCCTCTTATTACTTCAATAGATATATTTTCTTATTCTAAATTCTCAGTGTTTTAAAACAGGATGGATACTTGCTTATATTTTCATGAGAAACTTTTTTTATGTATATAGTCTTCAGCAAAGCTACCTATCAACTTTCTGAATATAGACTGCTCTTTGAATTGTCTCTGTCATCGATTCTATTGTTGTGAGGCGAGAGATATTTAACATTTTCTTTTTAAAGGAATGAATAAAAAGTCCCTTTGGACTCTGGCTATCTTTACATTATTTGGTTTCTCAGCATTGTCCAATAGAGGTGTCCTATCACTAGCTCCTGAAAGGTGCACTTTTTTCAGCTTCTGTTTTTTTCTCCTCCCTTTCTGGCTGCTCCTCAGTGGGCTGGAGCAATATTTCTTCTTTTCCTATCCCATTAAATATTCCATTCCTCAAGGGTCTCTCCTTCCCCCTTTGGGGCATTTCTGATTTTACTCTTCACATGTAGCCTACATTCTATGCTTTTGATAAATCTCTTTTAATAGAGGTAGAAAAGTAACTTCATTTGATTTATTGCATGCAAGAATGTGTTTTAATAAGCATAGTTCCACTGGTAATATTGAGCAAGTCAAAGAAGAGAAAAACATACCATTGGATAATTAAAAAAATATATATCATCAGATACACAACATACAAAAGGGATATTTTGTGATTAAGTTTTCTACAGGAAGTTATATGAGGGACTAGGAAATCTAAAAGTTATATTGTTCTGTAAAATGTAAAAGTGATTGAAATCATGTTAGTGAATATAAAATCATTTGTGTTTGTGTGATTTGGCTACAGAGGCTATTTGTACATTTAAGATAGCCAAAGTTGTAGCAGCCTCCCTCAGGCAAAAGTACTTAAGTATCTGATAATGTCTAGTGAATTGCTTAAAAGAGGATAAACAACACACCCCTAGGCAAGTGAGAGGACTTAAGTGGAGTCATTTTAGGAAACTAAGTGTCTTAACAATTCAGAAATTAATCTAGAATAAGACATTTTGCTTTTAGGATAAAGAAAAAAAAACCCATTTCTACATGTCTAAATTAGAAAGCAGGGGGAGAAAGTCAAATGTATATTCCATGAAATTCTTCATGTGTTCAACAACAAACCCTAAAAACTATAGAGAAAAATCATCAGCATGTATTGCTTCAAGCTAGTAAATACTAACCTTAATTTTTAAGAAATCAATTGGAAATAGGGAGGGTTAGAATGCATTCTAATAAAAACAATCTAGAAATTTAGTTATGTCCTAAACATATTTGTCTTTTGTATGATGCATTTTATGATAAATTACTTTTCAAAGTAGTTATTGAATCCATACTTATATTCAGAATAATAAAACAGTTCTCCTATGTTCCTAGAATAAATAACAGATGAAGCCCCCAGGTCTCTAAAGCAAACTCAAGAATTTAATTGTAAGTTTATTGCTATATACCAAAGTCGGTGAAACTAAATAGAGGTCTCTTTGTGGTATAAAATTGTGTTCTGAGAACTAAATATAAACAAACACCCGGGGATCAACAAACTCCCAGACATAGATCAATAAGAAGAGTACATAAACAAGAAACATTAAATCAAGAGATTTTCTATATAAAATACACCAAAAGCTTTACATTTTGCTCAAGGTTACTTCTAAAATGTGTTCTATAATATTGTAAGGACACAGATATCCATGGTTATGAGTTTCTTGGTAATGTACTAATGGGATTTGTTTAACACATTTTGGTGACATTAATCTTCAGCTCTGGTATAAATAGTTCTTGGTGACCTTCATGACCAACTTAAAAATTATCTGAAAATTATGATGTGACCTTACCTTGCTTCCATTTTCTCGAGCCTCTCGTTCCATCTTGAGGTCAGAAATTAGAAGATTCTTGTATTTGTTTTTCCCATCACTGCTGTGCTCATCTATTCTGTATTCTGAAGTCAGCTGTGCTGAGAGGGGACTGTCACTCAGGTTCAGTGGCTGTTCGTCCTGCTCCAGCCCAGTTTTGCCATCACCATTGGAGTCGCACATCTCCCTGCTGTGTGTTCCCCCTGAAGCAATTGAACTGTGCCCCAGAGTCTCATTGCCATTAAAGCTCTCTGCAGCGGAATCATCTGTTGGAAGGAAATAAAATATATTTTGATTTTAATTAATAGGCTATTATTCTGTTTTTAACTTCAACTATCATTTATTGAGTGCCTATCGTGTGCTTGGCAATGTGGTAACTATTTTACAGGCAATGTGGCATTTATCCTTAACAATAAATATGTGTAGCAACCATTGGTATTTTTAACCTCCTAGGCAGGCATCTTTAGGCATAAGAAAAAATGAAGTAAAATAATAAGAAAAACTAAACAGCTAAATATTCAATAAAATCTCAAAGAAATGTAAATATCAGCAAAGATAGTATGACAACCATGAATTATTTTGCAGGTAACTTTCATTTCATCAGTGACAATACCAAGAAAGTTCTCCAAAAAATATCATCTAGGGCCCTCCCTGGTGGCGCAGCGGGTTAAAGCACGCACTAAGAAGCAAAAGCCACTTCCGCATGAGTTTGATCCCCGCTTGCTCCGGAGGTGATCCACATGGCGTGGCAGACCTCTCCTGACCCGCCCGCTGCTCCCCTCAGCAGTGTACTTCGTAGATCTGCCTGTTCTGCTCCCCGCTCTGTCTCTGGTGAATCCTTTCACCCTCCGCATCTCTGGCCCGTACCCCAGTTCTGTACGAATAAATAAATAAATCTTAAAAAAAAAAATGTCACTTAAAAAATAAGGATAATAATGACATTGTCCTGAGAATAAAAAACATATGTTTACATAAAACGAAATTCAGTTCCTCTTAATTTACCCTTATGTATATGATAAGAATTTGATGTTAATTTTAAAAGGCAGTAATGATAAATATATTAAATTATTTAATTAAGGGTTTTGGAAGAATCCATGTAAGATGAGTAAGAGTAAAATAATATGAGGTATTTGTAGTTTTTGCTTGGTTAATGAGAATTGGAAAGGATTGTTTGTAGAGTAAAACGGCATGTTTAATGTCTCTGAAGGTGTAGTACCACTCACCTGTTCATTCATTTATTCAACTAGGATTTTATTGACTTCTAGTCTGGGCCAAAAGGATGTTAAATCTTTTACTTACAAAGACACTGCCTTCAATGAGTTCATAGATAATTAAAAGAGACCAAAAAAAAAAAAAATGAGCATGCAATTAAAATAAAGAGCAAAGAAGGGTGTGATTCAAAGCAAGGGATAAAGATATTGCAAAAGGTTTCTTCAAGAAGGTGGCAGATGAGCAGAACCCCTAAAGATGATTAAAGCTTAACCAGGTGAGCTGGAAGAGTTTTCCCACCCAGAGCTTACAGAGAATAGGATGTTCAAAGCACACCAGAGGTAAGATTCAAGTGCTGAATACAAAATAAGTGAAAAAAAGAGAAGCCTGAAAAGGGAGACATGCATTGGGGACCATTTTGTGTATCAAAAAGCCTGGACTTCACCTTGATTGCAAATCATTTTGAATTGAAATTGTTATGGGGGAAAAATATATTTTTTTAAAAATTAACTTTTTTAAAGATTTATTTATTTATGCATATAGAACTAGGGGACAGGCCAGAGGTGTGGTGGGTGACAGGATTCACCAGAGACAGAGAGGAGAGCAGAACAGGCAGATTGACTAAGTACACGGCTCAGGATAGCAGTGGGCAGGTCAGGAGAGGTCTACTGTGCCATGTGGGTCAGCTGCCTGGACAGGGATCAACTCGTGCTGCAGTAGCTTCAGAGAGCATTATAATGCAACGCTTTAACCTGTTGCGCCACCAGGGAGAGCCTGAAAAAAAAAATGTATTTTAAAGAGAACACCCTTATTCTCATGAGGAAACTGGTATGCAGGTTACAAAATGGAAGTTGAGGAGACCAGTTAAGAGACCTAGAAGTCATCTAAGTCAGTGTGTTGGAAGCATCAGCAGTACAGTAAAGGAAAGAATGATTAGAAAGATCATAAGAACACTTAAGATTGATAATAGAACATATCTGGGTTGAGGAGGAAGACCTAAAAATAAAGGCAAATTTTCATAAAATATTATTTTAAACAATTTTCAAAAATACTTTGCTAAAAAGTTTAAATGTATTCAAATAGTAAGACTCTACAGTTAAATTACTCTTTTTATTCTAACCATTTAAACAAGGCTTCATGTATGGGTAACACATAATTAGGAAACTGGCCACAAAGAATTAACAGCGCACTTTATATAGCTGTTAGTTTGAGAAGTAAGACTATATTTTTTCACTATGAGATAGCTAAAATATTTGAAACACAGAATTAGGGAAATAATGTATATAAACAATTTGGAATTTTTGCATTTTATTTTATGTTAAGTCAAGTCTGTATGTTAAAAAAGTGTGAAAAGTCATTTATGTTACTTCTAAGAAATTCCAGGGAACAGCATAATGGGTGTACTCAAGGGCAATTATTTAATTCATGAAGAAAATATGATTTAACTTTTGTGTAATGTAATCCTTTAAAAAATGTTAAACATTTCATGGGAATAATTTTTATCAATATGTAAAAGAAATGAATAACTCTAAAGATATATTTTAAAACCCAACCCACATTATAAAAAAATATCCTTTATTATAGTTGAAAATTAAACGTTATATCCATTTCTTTAAACTTCAATCATCATACATATTTAGTAAATAGTGCAATTTACTCATTTTTCAGGTAAGAGAGACATCAGCTATCAGAGGTCTTTAATAAAGATCATGTATTTATAATTTGGGTACAAAATATAAACAATAAAGGAGAAAATATTTTTAGATAGAACAGCTCACTCCAGATGTTACCAAGGTAACAAGACTCAATAGCTTACAGTTTTCATTTCTGAGTAAATCAGGGTATTTTATGAAAAACAGTAAATGATTTACTTATTTGTATCAAATATAAATTCAAATTTTCATAATTTAACGGTAAAAGAACCAATAATGTCACTTGCCACTGTTTTGTAAATCAAAATTAAGACATTTTTGATGTATGTATTGGAAAAATTCAATGTAAAGTGGTGAAGAGATATTAAACTGAGGATAAATTTTTCATTATTGTTTCATATAGTCACATTAATAATTTTTATTCTCTTTTAAAAAAATCAGATTTATTTATTTATGCGTGCAAGAACTGGGGTACAGGCCAGATATGTGGGGAGTGAGAGAATTCATTGGAGACAGATGGGGATCAGAACAGGCAGATCTATTGAAATAACACTGCTGAGGGGCATAGCTAGCAGGTCAGGAGAGGTCTGCCACACCATGTGGGTCACGTCCAAGACTGGGGATCATACTAGTGCTGCAGTAGTTGCTGATAGCTTCATAGTGCTGTGCTTTAACCCATTGCACCACCAGGGAGGGCCATATTCTCCTTTTTTGAAGATATATTTTTGGAATTTAATACCACAGTCTCAGACACCTCAGACATTTATTAAGCTAATAACTGCTACAATAAAGCCAAGCAATACTGTCTATTCTTTGATGATGTTTATTGTAACTAATTCACATTAGCTTATCACTTTAAAGGGAAACCTGCCTCCTTACCCAATCTAGTTTTCTCCATCCTGAGAAGTAGCTGATGTGTGGACTGCTGCCTTCTGCTACACAGGAGGAGTAGTATTTAGGTCTGTAGGTTTAACCTTCAGCCCACAGACCCAGGAGATGGTGCTTCTTTCAAGATCAACCTGGGTACCACAGCACTGGAATGAAAGACTGTATTTGCGTCCCAAGGAAAAACAGCAACTGAGTTTTGGATATCAGCATTGCCCAGGGTACCTAGCAACAGGGGAGAATGTGGAATATGACAGTAGGTTGTTTGGAATCTAATGACATCAGGAGGGCAGTTAGATGTTTGGCTACATTTGTTCTGTTGTTAGTTTTGATGGGACAGCTTTAGACTAACAGAGAGGTTTGCCCACGTTAGGTCATTGTGGCTCTTGTCTATTAGTAGAGCAACACTTCCTATAAGGATTGATGATTCATTTTCTTCTTTCTCAGCCCCTATTTCTCAGACCTTCCACCAATTAGTACAAATTCTGAAAATGCTCTTTAAATAATTTATAAGGTACCCATCAGCATTTTTATGAAGTAGTTTCATTAGTATCATATTTAACCCTTAGCTCTTTTTTACTAAACAGCTCTTTTTTACTATAACATGATAGAGGCCATCTATGTATATGTATATGTGTTCTTAAGTGCATACACACACACATATGTCCCAGAAATATACACATATGAAATCTCCCAGAGTACCTGACCTACTTTCTTATCAGTTATTTTCAGTAGCTCTTCATTACATATTTTCAGTTAAGTGCCTTAAGCAAAATGAATAAGAATACACACATGCACACACACACACACAATCTTAATTTTAAGACTACTACTGGGAAATTTAGTCTTAAAAATCCAGGTTAGATGCTGGTCTAGTCCAAAAATTTTTTCACCATTTTTCCCAAAAACTTTTCAGTCGTCTACCTCTAGTCTTCTTAGAAAAATTCCTTTTATATTTTGTCATAAGACTAACTTTTAAACCCCAAAATTGTATGTAAATAAATAACATTGCTTGAAAAGATTAGTATCTTAATAGCCCCCCCCCAATAATTAGAAAATCCTTTAAAATCTATTTGCAAAACAGATTTTAGGTTAGGTGTAATTCTCCCTGATCACTCCTGATGTCTGCTTTTTCTTCTCCAAAATCTAGCAGCTCCTATAAGTAAATGTAAGCTCCCATTCTAGGCTTTACCTTATTTCTTACATTATGACTCCCTCTGCTTTAAGACACAAAGTGCAATCAAGTCTGAACTTATGCTGTGAAGCACTAAGCTGCCCTGGCCCCTGACTTATTCTTGTTTTTAGCTCTTCTGCTCATCTATATTAGCCACAACAATGTCCTTTCCTCATTTTACTCATTAACCTTTGTCAAATCCTTATGATGACCTTTCCACTTTCAAGTTTCTATTTTGCTCATTTTCTGTAATGCTGTTTTTTATATTTAATTCAACAGAATAAATTCTTGTTCTGTATTTTACCTTTGTGTTCATATATGCAAAAATTTAAATTACTGAGTACTA